ATCTTAGCCAAAAGGCCGAGAAAGGTATCTTTTTTTTTTTTTTTTTTTTTTTGCTGCTGTTTTGTTCAGTAGCACTAGCTTAATTCAAATTTCCGCCACTGTCATGCTCACCACCTTTCCTTCTTATCCTCAGTGTGAACATGACAGTGACAGAAATTTGAATTAAGCTAGTGCTACTGAACAAAACAAGATTAGTTGATTGGACAGCGCCTCATTTCGGGGGGGGGGGGGGACCCTTATAGAACCAATTGTACAATCAATGGAACCGTATCGGAGAAAACGGACACAGGTGAACAAGAAGAGTGTACTAAAGCACTTGAGATAATCATGTGTCACAAAAAGGCAGCGCTCCCCCCCAAGTGTCACCCCCCAATAGACGGAGCCCTCAATAGGGGGCCACTTAGGGAGGATGCTCTGATCACCTCCCCAAGTGCACCCTCCCCCGCCCCCGAAGGTGGGTGAATATGACTGTGACAGAAATTTGAATTAAGCTAGCGCTACTGAAAACCAAACAACATCGGTTGATTGGGCAGTGGCGCAGCGTCTCATTTCCGGGGGGGGTGAGAGGGGGGGGGGATATTTTTTTTTTGAATCAATTGTAGATTGACGGAACCGTACCTGAAAAACAGACACAGGTGAGAAAGAAAAGTGTACTAACTTACTAAAGGCACCTACACACAAATCTGTGTCGCAAAAAAGCAGCAGAGCAGAACACATGAGGGTGTGATTGGGGAGAGGGGTGAGGGGCATGCGTTGTTGAGAACCCTGCCCCCTCCATTTCCGGGGGAAGGGAGGGAAATACCGTCTAGAATCAATCGTACATCGATGCAACCGCACTGGAAGAAACCAACAAAGGTGAACAAGAAGAGTATTCTACGACACTTGAGATAACCATGCGTTGCAAAAAAGCAGCAGCAGAACAGATAAGGGTGAGAGAGGGTTGGGTGAGAAGGGGGGTGGGTGAGAAAGGGGGGTGGGTGAGAAGGGGGGTGCGCGGCATGCGTTATTGAGAACCCTGCCAATTGTTGTTGTTGTCAACTGGGGCTTGCACACTTCGGAAGATGAAAAATTAAAATATTTAAACCGTAAAACATTACAAAACTCAGTTTGTAAAAAAAAAAACAGAAACAAACAAACAAACAACAACAACAACAAAAAAAAAAMAAAAAACAAAAAAAAAAAACACTCAGTTTGTAATTTTTTACCAAGGCAGTCCTTAGGCGGAGAACTTCAAGATACGGAGCCTTGCTCCACTACACAACAATGTGATTGCATCTGGGATGTGAAAGGGTCCACATACATTCAGTCAGAATGTGAAAGGGTCAGTCCGAAGGTATGTGGATATAGTCGCAGTGCAGAATCTGCAGATAGATCTCGAACTGCTGTGTACTGCACTAGGGAAAAATTTTAAAGGAAAATTTTCAAATGAAAAATTTGAAATGATTTTTTTTTAATTTGTGAAAACCCACTTACCTTCCAAGTTCGAAAAAAAGTCAAACCGAATTACTTAATTAGTAAATATTAAATACTAGTAATTACTAAGACACAGTTTTCACGGTGTTTGCGTTCGGAGGTGAACACGAGCATGTTCGCCCGGAATGCGAATGAGCACCCAAACCCCTCCGAAAGCGAATGTAAAAAAACTTAAAAAAAAGGTAGTATAAAAAAAAAAAAAAAATCAGAAAATGTTGAAAAATGTTGAAAAATCTGGAAACAAATATATCTCATCATTCTCATGTAAGAAAACAAGAATACAAGCAACTTTTGCCTTGGGAGTCATGTTCACATTCTTAGCGAAACGTGAGGTAAAAATAAAAAACCGAATTTGATTGATTGATTGATTGAGTGAGTGAGTGAGTGAGTGATTAATTGATTGGTTGATTGAGTGAGTGAGTGAGTGATTTAGTTATTTTTACGGGAAAAACAATTATGTTCAACCGAACACATTTGCGAGCCGTTCACGTGAACACGTTCGCCGTGCTACGTATGACTAATTAGTAATTACTGATTACTGTCAAGTTTGATTGTGTCCGCCCCCCCCCCCCCCCCCCCCCCCCCCCCCCCCCCCCCCCCCCCCCGCTTCTCTGAAGACCAACTTACCTCTCCAAGATTCGAAAATGTGCAAACCTAATTACCTAATTAGTAATTACTAATTAGTACTAATTACCTAATTAGTAATTACTAATTAATACTAATTACTAATTAGTAGTTACTTTCAACTTTGAAAAGTCGAAACTGAATCGCATTCGTTGTAAATTTCACTTTAGTTAAGCTTGATTTTAATATTTAAAAATAATAACAAAGAAAAAAAAAATCCAGTTTCAGAACCTACCTTGCACTAGGCTTGTACTAAAAACAGGCGCATACCAACTGGCCTAGCTCAATTGGTACACCGATAAATTGTTAAAATACAGACCCCAAGTTCGAATCCAGATGCAATCAGATGCACAGAATAAAATAAATTGAATTAAATTCTGAATTACTGGTCAGCTTAATGATGATAGCTCAAGGCAGTCACCCTTTTTTTTTTTTTTTTTTTTTTTCAAAGGAGAAGGGATTAGTGAAAATGAAGTACTTGAAAATCATCATCAGCATAAACAATGGAGTGGTATAACCCTAATGGCCCTACCTAGACCCCAAACCCTGAACAATAGGCGATTGGCGAAAACAGGGAAGACGGGAGAGCCTTAAACCCCAAAGGGCCTAGAGTCCCTAGACCCTAAAAGCCTGTACAATAGGGGGATTGCCAAACACAGTAAAACCAAACTGAAAGTTTGAAACAAAATTTTGTGTGCGAGGGGTCAAGCAGAGGGGGTCAGAGGGAAGAAAGGGCAAGGGAGGGGAGGGGAGAGGAGAGGAGAGGAGAGGAGAGGAAACGAAAGGAAAGGGGGTTATAACTTGTAACCTAGGCTACCAGAGTGGCCTGGGACCACTTGCACGGTTCTGGCCTAAAAAAATTGTTGTCCTCTTCTCTCTCTCTGCCTACGGTTTACCGGGCAGTTCTGTTTGTGACGATATATATATATATCGTCTATATATATATATATTAATTTGGTAAAGAATTTCGATGTGACCCTGAGGCAAAAGTTGTTCGGTTTATTTTTCTGCACAACATAGTTATTTTTTGAGTTTTTTTTCGGTTCTTTTTTTTGTTTCTTTAAATTCTTTTTTTTTGGGTGGGACGTTCCCTGATCCTTGCATGGCTGGGCCGCCCGGTGACCCGTGTGGCCAGGCCGGTAGCCTAGGTACCTTATAACGTACAAGAGGCAATGCGAGCAGAATTCACAGGAGGTCGTGGGTTCGAACCCACGATCAAGAGAGATTGTAATGGCAAAAGCTGCAAAACCTAAAAGCAAAGTGTGAAGGAGCTGCGCACAAGGAAAACCTTTGCAGACCGAAAAGTGAAAGCAAAGGAGACTGGCCAAGCGCGGCCTAGCTCAGTTGGTTGAGCACGTAAGTGGTATCCAGTGAGGTCGTGTGTTCGATTCCTCACGGCATCCATTCGACTTCCCCCGACACCCTGTGTGGCACACTTCCAATTGACCGACTGAGAAAGTCGGCTTGTCCCTCCTGGCTGGTTGTGGAAGTTGTGCACAACTTTCCAGCCTGCGCCAGGTGTTCGGAGCTACCGTCTTCCCCCGAACACAACGCACCCTCATTTTGGTTGCACCGGACTGGAAAGATGGCTTGTATACAGTTGTTATCAGGGTGCGTTGTGTTCGGGGGAACACGGTAGGAGCCTGAGTGCCGCTCCCCGCACACAGCGGAATTAGGTAGGTAGGAAGAGGTCGGTGTGAAGTTGTCAACCCATAACTCTCAGGGCCGGGCAGCTTGTTCCATTAAAGAAAGTGCAACCGGACACCATAACTCTCAGGGCTGGCCACCTTGTCCCATGGAAAAAATGCAACTGGACTAAGGAGGAGATAGGTAGGGTAGGGGGGAGAAAAATGAGAGAGAAGAATATAGGGTGGTTTTTCTAAGAAAAAAGAAGGAAAGGAAAACAAAGGAGACTGGAAGCCAAAGAACACGACTTCGCAGCGAGCGGTGTTGCACCCCGTACACGTGCGAAGACCTCACATACTCGTACATGCGTGCCCCCCCCCCGTACACGTATGGGGTCAGGCGCGGTTCACAGCTTTGCGGCTTCGAGGGGGGATCGAGGGGGGGAGGCACGCATGTTCCTGTTATGATTGGAATGGTGGCTCGCCTGTGCTCGGCCCCTCCCTCCCTCCCCGCCTGCCCGCCTGCCCACCCACCCGCCCGCCCGCCCGCCTGCCCAACTTGAGGTTCTTCGAAGATCAGTGCCTTATGGGATTGTAGTGGGGATAGACCATTGAATGTGGTCACTTTGCCTCGGGCTCGCTGATCCTACGCTAAGTGAACACATTCAGGTGTCCATCCCCATTCACTGTATTGAGAAGGGGGCTGCTACAGGAGGAGGGGGTTTTGGGGTGATGTGGCCTTAGAGTCTGGCTTCATGGTGCCCCTGTCTTTCCAGTTTTGTTGTTGACTGTGGGACGCCGGGCCCAGCTCTCGCCGGGTCTCGCTCCCCAGCAATATATTGAGCTCTGTCCAAAAAAAAAAGAATAAAAAGAACCAGCTATTTGATCAATAGATTAGCTTTGCCCAAAAAGAAAGGGGGATTTCTTCCAAATTCTTTGCCCAGTTGGTGAGCACGCCAGTAAGCAATCGAACGGTGCAACTGTTACAGTTGCAGGTGATTTTCTCGTTCGGACCCGAACTTACCTCATAGTCTTCCACATAGTCACCGACGATGAAAAGAACCGCCTTAGGAGCCTTAGGAGCCATCTACAAGGAAAACAGCAGAAGAAAATAACACATGGAAAATGAGGACTGAGGTTGGATCTCAGGCATGAAGTGCAAGAAAGCCCTAAACCCTAAACTGAGAGGCTTGGTAGAGTACCCTAAGAGCACCAGTGGACACACTGCATTCTTCTTCTTCTTCTTCTTCTTCTTCTTCTTCTTCTTCCTTCTGTTGCTGCTCCTGCTGCTGAGGCTATGGATCTTGCTGCTTTCCTACCACTTCTTCTTCTTCTTCTTCTTCTTCGTCTACGTCTTCGTCTTCGTCTTTCTTCTTCTTCTTCTTCTTCTTCTTCTTCTTCTTCTTCTTCTCCTTCAGACCCGTGGTTTTGGTCTTGTCACGTTCAAAACCGCGAACATAGTATGCATGAAGACGTGCAGATCTCACCTCGATGCACATCCTTTTTTCTGTTTGAGAAACATGGGAGGTATCGCTCCACCACTATCATGGCATTCTCACAATACCCTGTTCCTCACAACAGCATACTACCGTCTTCACCCGAATAGAACGCCCGGTCATCATAGCTGATAATGACGGGGCGTTCTATTCGGGTGAAGACGGTAGTAACTACTTGGCATCATGAATGAATGTATATAGGCTATAATTGCACCAAATACAGACATAATGATAATAGGAAGTTGTGTTCCAGTACCTTTTTCCCATCATGATGATGAATACTCAAAATTTGCCTGTAATGCGGAGTCCCACTAAGGGAGTCTTGGCGCCCATCTTGGCTATTTGTGCTTCCCCCCCACAGTCTTTCAGCCTTCTCAAGGATCCAAAAATTGGGACGTTTGTGACAGGGCGCGATTGGACTTTCCCAAATATAGTAAGCTTGAAACACGCTCAAAATACAAAGCTACGATGAGCGTCAAATCAAGGGTACATCCAGCTATCGGCCGCCGGCCCTTTTCGGAGGCCACCCGCTGCCAATTCAATTTATTTACGGCGCTGGGCCTCCGAAAATTTTGTAGGCGACGAGTTTTCTTTTCAGCAAGGCTGGGGCCGTGTAGTGGCGGCTTAACCGCCAGTACCTTTCCCCGCTTGGTTTCAAAGTCACGGCAGGTAACGCGGTGGCCAAGCGGGGCCGGGCCACTGTTGATAAATTCAATCGGCAACCCATTTTCGCTTTCGGCCTCTCTTTTCCGCCCGCGGCCGATGTATGGGAAAGGTACTGGTGGTTTAAACCACTACTATAGTACACGGCCCCAGCCTTGCAGTCCAAAACTTGTCGCCACAAGAAAAAAAATGAGGCCGAAACGTCAAACGTTGGGTCTGCCGTTGATAAATTAGATCGGCATACAGTCGCCTTTATGCTTCGCGCTTCTGGAATTCGAGGTGTCAGGTCCGCGGCCCAGGTTGCCCGTGTACTGGTGCTTTAGCCCCAACCTCCCTACCTACTGCAGTAAGACAAGAGTGAGTTTTTATGCCGGGCTGCAATTGTCGGGAAGTGGCCTCTGTCAATTTTGGAATTATTTCGGAATTCGAGAGCAGGGGTGTTCTGATCAGAGTGAGGGCAATTCTGTTACTCGTCACGACGGAGAGGTGCTGTCCTCTCTTTTCCTCTCTGTGTCGTGGAGAGAGTGGGTGGAGGGAGGAGGTGATTTTAAGGTCGTCCTCGCGGGGCTGTTCCATACGGAGAGAGTTGGGACGGGGGGTCTGCGGACCGTCGTTCTGTGGGGACAGGCTTTTGGTGGGAACTGCTTGTCTTTAAGGAAGCGGTGGTCCTTTAGGGGGCTTGTCCTGAGCTGGGGCCATTGAGGAGAAGGGGGCTCCTCTCGACGGGGGCAGCTCAAGGACAGGAGGGAGGGGTTTTGGTAAGAATGAGGGCAATTCTATTTCTCTTCGCAGCGGGGAGGTGCTGTCCTCTCTTTTCCCCTCTGAGTTGTGGAGAGAGAGGGAGGGTAGCTTGGAAGATTCATCCCTCTACTCCTTTACGATTTTCTAGATTTTCTTAGAACCTTAGTTTTTCTAGCAATTCTGTCAATTTCTGTGGAATCTTTCATCAATGGACAGGTGGTCTTCTCAGGGTTGTCCTTAGGGGGCTGTCCCATGCGGGGAGGGTTGGGATGGAGGATGAGGGAACCACCGTTCTGCGGGGATAGGCTTTTGGTGGGAAATGCTTGGGCTTGAGGGAGTGGTGGTTCGCTAGGGGGCTTGTCCTGAGCTAGGGTCAATGAGGAGAAGGGGCCACCTCTTGACGGGGGTAGCTCAAGGACAGGAGGGGGGATGGGGGGGTTGATCAGAGTGAGGGCAATCCTGTTTCTCGTCACGACGGAGAGGTGCTGTCCTCTCCTTTCCCCTCGGTGCCGTGGGGAGGATGAAGTAGATGGCGGGATATCATGGGTCCTACTAGTGAGAGGGCTAGCTGGTAGGATGGGAATAGCGTACAGCAGCAGCGGAGATGGTGGCTCTGCTGCAGTAAGTCTTGCCGGAGTGAGGTAAAGGGGATTGATGGGAGGTTTCTGAGTCGTTTTCTGAATTGTGCCCATGTTCTTGGTTCTCAGCCACACTTCCAAACTATTTGTAAATTTTTCATACGGGACTTTCGGCCCGGTTCCCTGCACGTGCTGCTCCCCACGAATAGATTGGAGCTTTGTTTTTTGAACTTTTTCTATAAAAAAAAAAGAAAAAAAAAGAGGAGAACACTCCCCAAAACAAATTTCCAATTCGGGAGTGGTGGCAGTGGTGTGATGAGGCTTTTTTCCAATTCGGGAGTGGTCGCAGTTGGTGTGGCGAGTCTTTCGACTCCAGTGTGGTTGGGCCTTGCTCCGGCACTCGCCAAATGCGCAAAATGAGAATGAAACTTTATTCACCGCCGTATTTTTTGTCTTTTCTGTATGTGGCGAGTAGTGGAGCGAGGCCCATGATCTGCGAACCTGATGCTTCCCAACGAAAAAACAGAAACAAAGGGCCCCACTCCACTCCACTCCACACACTGTACATGCATGTGGACAAAGGGCCCCACTCCACTCCACACACTGTACATGCATTTGGACACCTAGCGAGGGACCAGGTGCAACAAAGGGCCTCACTCCACTCCAGACACTGTACATGCATTTGGACGCTTAGGGAGGGACCAGGTGCAGGACCAGGTGCATTCCAACGATTTTCCAACATTGTGAATGTATCCGGTGATGAAAGAGTCCAAATGCATGTACAGTGTTGTGTAGTGGAGGGAGGCCCAAACAGAGATCCAGTGAAGGTTAACTTTACCCCTTTTTTAAGAGGGAGACGACCTTGACACTGATCTGACCGGCCCCAGGTAGTTCCAAATATTTTTTACTCTCAGACCATTTATCTGGTTACATCTGGATTTCAACTTAAAGGGGTTCTATATTTCTGTTTTTTTTTTTTTTTTTTKGGGGGGKKGGGGGGGGGGTTCTATATTTCAACAGTTCATGGGTGTACCAACTGAGCTAGGCTCACTGGTGATCGAGTGAAAAGGTTACGCCCCAGTAAAGGGAAAAAAGGAAAAAAAGAAGACAGTCTTTCAGGACATCCATTAAAATTGGAACGATACAGAGAAGGGTAGTTAGCATGGCTCCTCGGTCCTGATATAGGTTTGCAGGAGGACCGATGCTACCAATGTTAGGAAGCACAGAGGAGACAGAGTAGAAACTGAGTCCCGATAGACTCGGGGGGCATTGTCCGGGCTACGAGGCACTGCCCTGTTTGAGGGTGTGGGATGTTAAGCTGGTAGAGAGGTGAGGTTAGAGGTAATGGGTAGCTGGGTAGACACCGGTATTCGGAATAGTAGGTTTAGAAATTAATAGCCGGTGGCTAAGAATGGATGTTGCTTGATCTGATCAGTAAGCTTGGAATATGTGGAATCGAAGCGAAACCGGCTGATGCTGCAGGGATAACTCTGGGTTGAATTGTGAGGTCCCCGGCCTCGTGTCAAATGTGTTTTTGGGAATAAAACTGAATGTCTTCTTGCCAAAAAAAAAAAAAAAAAAAAAAAAAAAAAAAGCAATGATCTCTCTCTTATTTTTTGGTCGTTCACTTTGACTGAAAAGGCCACCCTAAGGCTATCAGCCTATCAGGCCACCCGAAGACTATCCTGGGCTATCAGGCCACCCTTGGCTGAAAAGGCTATCAGGCCACCCTTGGCTATTAGGCCACCCTAAGGCTACCGACGCGAGACCACCCTGGGCTATCAGCCCACCCTGAGATCCGCCATGATTCCACACACCAACGAGAGAGAGAGAGAGAGAGAGCCAACAATCTTCTTACGGAAATAAAAAAAAAAAAAAAAAAAAAAA